CATTATGATCGCATGACGGGGATTTACGTGTTATTAATCATAATTTTTATCATAAAATTTTTTCTTTCTTTTTTTTTTCTTATTTGTTATTTTCACGGGGTGATAGCAAATAAAGCCGGGTGATAACAGGCATTTGTTATTCCCCCGAAAAGTTAAAATATTAAAGGGAGACAAAGAAAATGATAAAAATAATTAATAACACGAGTCCCTGTCATGTCGTCATATGAAACGTTGAATAAATAGTACTTATTTATATTTTGTTAAAAAAAAACTACAAAGTTTCCTTCAAAATATTTAAAATTAAAAAATTATTAAATATTATGTATGCTCAACTTTTAAATACTTTAAATAAATAAAATAGTTATAAATTGAGCATTCACAATATTTCTCAAGTAGTCACAATATTTAAAAATTTTATTTTTTAAGTATTTTTGGAACCAGCTACAATATAATACCTTTTTCAGTGCATCTTCTTAATCTATCATTGTCCCCCCTCCCAAACTGCTAGAAACCTCAGCTAGACTATAGGTAAATACCTTCCAAATAAAAAAAAAGCAAGACACAATAATAATTGCATTGAAATCGGCTTATGATAGGCAAAAAAAATCACGATCACAGAAACCTGTCGCAATTAACTATCATATATTATTCAATTAGGATACGTATCACAAACTTACTCACGTTACTAGTAATTTTGAATCCTTTACTTGATACTTTATTCTTTATTGATTTATATACTGACAGAAGGTTAAAAGATACAACTTATACATTTTAATGTCTCATTCTAATCCTTTAAAGGACATTATAACTAATAAAATATAATATTAGAAGCTATGATTTAGCTAATTAATCACCCATTAGAGGTCTAGCCTTACTAAAATATCGAAATCCCTTTTTTAATACCGAAAGATTACTATAAAAGAGATATTATTAGATATTGTATCACAATTTTGAAATATAAATAAACCTATATATTTGCTATAAGTGGGACTTAAATTTGAAGTATTTCATTTATATTTGTGACTTTAATAACAGGTGTACATTAATTTTAGGTGTTAGGTTGTGTTAGAGTCAGATTCAGGGTTTAATAATTTCTAAATTAATTACGAAATTCAAAATTCTATAGTTCACTTAATTCCAATCCCACTTATAACTTATATTGCATATAAAAACATACCCATTAACTTGAAGGCAATCTAAAACATAACAAAGTTTCCAAGCCGTAATGGTAAGGCTACAGAGCTTTAAATGACTGATACTCTCACCTTCTTCGTTGACCTCAATTTCTCGGTTGAAACGTGCACTATTTTGAGAGTCAAATTTATATTCACACATATTATCATTATTTGGGAATGTTGGTGAAGCAGTTCTACTGAATTCGATTCCAAGTTTAGATTCAGATCTTAGTCTATTATAATCAACGACAGTCTGGTTTTCAGCCCTCTTTTGTACGCACATTTTAGATTTATCATGATAAAGGCTTGTAGTATAACTTCTTGTATTATTAAAATGAATAAATGCTTCATAATCATACATAACTGAACTGGGGTAGTAATCTACAGGTTTTAATGTGAAAGTAAATGTCTTGGTACGATCATCATAAATTGGTGGCGAATTTTTAGACCATTCAATTTCGCTCCAATCAAACTAATTTTAAAGATGATTTATATCAATTAATTTATTATTATTAAAAAAAAAAAAGTATATATATATATATATATGTTTATACATATATTCACCTCAAGTATTAAACCAGAGTTTAACCTGGATATAACAGCTTC